AGTTGCCACTAAAAATAAAACATCAGTACTGGTGTTTAAAAATGAAAACAAACTTGATCTGAGCATGCTGCCTTATAGTTTTCATACTCAGTGTTTCTAAATATGCATCATTTTTCTAGGCTTACTTAATGCTCTGTAATCCCTTACTGGACACACTTAAATAAGCTTTTAGTAGCTTTTAGAAATGGTTTTACTCTGCTTTTAAAGGACATGCAATTAATAGTTCTGGCTTTGTCTTGCACTTTGCTAAATTATTACTTATGTTAGTGGATAAAATATTTAAACATCTAAAGACTTGTAAATATTGTCTGTTTGCATAATGTAAAATGTGGTATGCCATGGTTTACAGAATGTAATATTACTCTTACTATTGCCAACAATTCTGCATAGATTTTAATATGAATGAAATTTGCTAGCGTCCTTTTGAATGTAGAGACCGTTAGCAGTTTTATGGCAAAGCCATGAGTCTGTTAAAATTTCAGGTGTAAGGTAGGGTTGCCCTTTGCGTAACAAGCAGATTAAAATTGAAGTCATTAGTTCAGCTATCGTGCATTGCACCTGAAACCAAGGATCTTATTTTTTCTATTTAATTCAATATTTCCCATTTTGACCTCCCTTCCACCAAAATAATTTTTTACATCTGATATATTTTATAGCCTCTATTCTTCATGTCATTTTTTTTTACATATTTATGCCCTCCTTTGAAATTGCCCAGAAATATGACTTTTAAGAAGTATTTTGAAATTTCGCATGTTTTGGAAAGTATCTAGACCCTCATGAAAGCCACTGATGACCCTTTTCTGGAGTTCAGATATTCTGTTCTAGGAAAGAACTAATTGAGAAGCTTTGCCTAAAGAACATATTGTGGCTGACTTATAGTTGAGAAAATATTCTCAATCATCTTTTCAAGGATCTTTTTAAAATACTCAGACGTTACTGAAGAAAGACAAATGTTTAGACAAAAATATTTTAGTGTGGTAGTAATTTTACCACACATGTCGCCATTTGATTGGTATGTGCATATTTCTCTATTTCTTTTCACAATCAAGATGAATGAGAATACTACTCCAATTTTACTAGACTGTGAAGTTTTAGCATAACAAAAGCTTTATGTCACATTAATTAACTACAAATGTATGTGTCTGTGTGTAGGCATTATTTATAATTCATAGTGCTAAAAATAAAAAGTGTCTGGGACTGAATAATATTCTATTTGTTATCCTACTCTTACTGCTTTTAGTAAGCTTTTTAGGCAAGCATTCATCCCAGTGAAGAGAACAATCATTTATTCACACATGATCAAGCTTTTTATGCTACTTTTAAAATGTATGCCTAATTTTAAATCCACAATCCTTGACCAGTAAAAACAGAGAGGGAAAAGAGAAACTTATTTGATATATAATTAAAATTGTTTGCACTAGCGCTTTTCCACCTCCTCTGTGGAGCCCCCTTTAACCACATGCCACCCAGCAACCCTAGATCTTTAACTTTTAATATATTGTATATGCCTGCAACTATGTGTTTGCCTGCTGTAAAATTTTTATAGAAAAGGTAGAAATCTCTGAAAATGCATACCCAGTTTTTGTTTTATAGCTAAGGTCAAGGAAAAATTGTATGTATGTTTATATTCCAGCTAATGTCATCAAATTTATGCTTTAGACTGTGAAATTTTAGCACCAAAAATTATTTCCAGAATAATACACAATTTCTAATCTTTGCTGATAGAATAAATTACTTCTCGGTATCAACTCTTAAACTCTTACTCTTTTCTATAACCTTGGAATTTGACCACTTGGTGATTATAACTTTTTCTGCCATTGTATGTATAAACCTCTCTTGGTTTTCCTCAAAGAACAGCAGGAAATAGTAAATTATTTTCATGAAACAAATATTAAGATAGGAATAGAGTCTATCTGGAGGTGACAGTATGGTGTTCATCATAGAAATCATTTGCTGGCATATATAATTTTTCCTGCAGTAATGGGGATCAAATCTAAGGCTTTGTGCATATACTAATCAAATGCTCTACCTCTGAGCTACATCTCCAGCGTTTGTTTGTTTTGGAGACAGCATCTCGCTATTTACCCAGCTGGCCTGTAAGTGGTGCTCCTCCTTCACAAGCCTCTCAATTTTATTCATTCTTAAATTGATTATTTTATTGTTCATTATGATGGTTAACTAATCTTAGTTACTTAGACTATGCAGAAAACACCAATTTTCTCTCTTCTTTGCTTTCTTATGTAACTTCTGTTTCACATTGTTTTCCCTTGCAAGTGGCTGATTAGCACTTGGGTATTTTGGAGTGTTTAGGGAGGGGATTATTTTCTTTTCAATGAAATTGGCAGCAGTGAATGCTGAAATGATAGCGTACACTGTGGTAATTAATTCCTCCTCCATTAAGTCTTTTTGTTTTATCCTCAGGATGGAGCATACATGTTTTTTCCATTGGGTTACTAATTTTGTGAAAGTTGTTTCTAGGTTGAGAAAAGTAATTTTAAATTTTGTTGTTACACAATACTCCTTAATAAAATTTGCCATGGTCGCATGCATTTGCCAAAGCATATAAATTTCACTAACCTTTGAGGTAGCAAGGTAAGAGATTTCTTTAAAATTCACACTTGAATGCTTCTCATTTGACCCAAGATTCTGGTCATTTTTAAGATCATCCAAAAAGCCAGTACCATTCGTATTATTAATTACAAATATGGACAAGTGTCATTTACAGATTAATTCCATCCCAAGGCATGTCCTTTATTCTTTATTCCCTTGTACCTCCATGTTAATTTAGAAAAGAGACCATTATAGTTAGACATTTGAAGTAGATGGAGAAGTGCCTTGTCTTTTTTGAACAAAGATAACATTATGTGGAAGGAAGCAGAATGAATTGGTAGATTATTACATTAGAAATCTTCCTCTTCGACCAGTTCTAAGAATTATTTTGCAAGTGTATTGTATTTTATTTATTTATTATAAAAAGCCTGTTTCCTTGTTTTCCTCTAACATGTGATATATTAATGACAGACTATCACAGAATGGGACTATCAGTCATTTAAAAGCTACGATAATTTTAATGCTAATAAGCATAATTTTAATTGGTTCTGGGAAGACAGTTGTCTTTGATTGAAGCCCTTCCAAAACCCACTTAAGTATTTGATGTCGATGCCATTAATATTATGATCTAAAAACACTAATGTCTGAGAAATTAAACGGATATTTATCAACCTATTTTAATGAAATTTTTCTTGTTTTTGATAATTTCAGTAAAATTTGATAACATTTGTAAGCTTTTGAACAAATATTTTTTTTCAAGAGTATGAGAGATTTAAAAAATCATTAGCATTTTAATTTGCTTTATAGATAATTGCCACTTTAAAAAAATCAAACCTTAATACTTTAGCATAAAGCTCCCAAACAATATTTCATTAGAATTTACTATATTGATATAGGAAGACACAAAGGATATAGAAATTATATTCATCTGCTGATTAATTGGAGCACTTTCACATGGAAATACTGTTTGCTAATTTTATTATAAATGCTCAAGCTCCTTAAAATTAGGTCCTGTTATACCTATAAAAAGTCTGCTCTTTATAAAACATTTGTTTTGAAATGATTGCCAAATTATTCTACTTTCATTAAGTGGTGAATTGTTGGAAATTTTTCACAGAAAAGGAATAGGTCTTATTAATATCTGTATGTGTAATATGTAGGCAGATGGATGGATGGATAGATAGATAGGACAGGACCTGATTATAAGCCAACCCTTTCACTTTGATTATGGCACCCTGAGAATGTAATCCATTTTCTATGGATTTTGTCAAACTTGTATTAAATGAAGAAATGACCTAATATTCTGGGCCCCATAAAAGTCACCTAAATTATCAGTCTTTTGATCTATAAAATTGTAGGGTTGAACCTAAAGCTGGACAGAAAATTAGAGATTACCTAACATTCTGTGATGTTAGGAATTCTTAGGAAATTTTTACTCTGTGGTTTTAGAATGATTTTTCTCAGATCTACTCTCCTTGATGGAAACTCTCACAGTGTCTTGCACACATTGAAATTGTAGTTTTCTGGCTCTTCGTTCAAGTGTATTATTATTATTACTCAGACTGAACCTGATGCCTGCTAGACCTTAGTCCTTCTATTTTGATAAAAGTGAATGTAATTCCCTTAGCAACGTAGGACTGAGGTCTATATTGCTTTGCCTATGTGAAATCTGACTATGCAGTTGGTATCCAGGTGAGAATTATAGCTTTGACAATGGATATATGATTTGACATTTATATGAGGGATTTCATATCCAACTCAACATCTGCTTTAGTGTTTTATGAAGTTCCATACCCTCAAAAATATCTTTTGGAACAAACTTAGAAATTTAGGTGGGAAGGAAAATAATATGGACTTCAAAAGTCAATTCTGGTTTAATTCTTAGCTTTGCTGCCTAATTCCTCTGTATCTCATGTCCTCATCACTGAAGTGGGGACAATAATCTGTACCTACCTCACAGGGGAATTGAGGATTTTTTTTTCATTTATTAATGTATTCTGAGTGTTGACTGAAACATATACTAGGTATCATAATTATGTAATTACTAAATAGTTTCCTTTAAATCTGTGTTTCTTTTCTTTCTCAGACCCTACGGAGTGAGTGTTGCAGTTGATCTCTTTTTTAGTAATAAATTTTGCTATTAATCCCCTCTTTGTTAAACATGACTATTTGTATTATGTTAATACTTGATTAGTGAGGAAAAGCAGGTAGAGTAAATCAGTAGTTCCTAATTTGGGGCAGATG